CTCTCTCGATCCTTTCCGGCGACGCAGTTCCCTTCTCCGTGGCGATCGTCGCCGAGTCCGCGCTGCTGGCTGGTAACACAAGCCTGCGCGCCTTCTGCTTCGGCCGGCTGCACACTTCGTGCAGTGGCCGCTGTCGTATGGGAGCAGTGGGTTCTCGATGCTGCTCCTCCTCGGACTCCTCTCTCCATCGACGCTTCCGCGGCACTCTTGCTGCGGGTGTGCTTCTTCCCTCGTCCCTCCGTGTCGGCGGAGTAGAAGCTGGTGAATCCTCTGCATCGGTGTCGACCTCGTTATCCCGCACATACTTCCCGGGATGGTCGACGGACAATGGCGGAAAGCGAGCGAGCTCCGCCGCGGTCAAACAATTCCTCTGCCGATAGAAATTGATCAAGAAAGGGAGAGGTGATTGAGAGTTCCCCCCTTCTCCTCGAATGCGTGCTGTCGCATCACTCTGTGCAGGATGCTCGCCCAGTGAACTGGAGCTCCCTCCAAGATGAGCTCCACAAAAGAAACCTGCCACAAGGTGATGTAGGAGGTGCGGTGTGGCTGCAGCAATTGCAGCAGCGCCGCCGCTAAAGTTCGGCGGAAGCGATCTTTGTAGTCGCGGGTCTTGTACCCATTCTTGGTAGACCTCTCCCGCTTGAACAATTCCACAAATTGCGCCTCGTCTTGCTTCGACGCCTTGACGCTCTCACTATCAAAGAGAAGGTACCCGTCGATGCCGGCACACCTCCCCAATGCCTGCGCCCAATCTTGGACGGTCCACCGATCGACGTGCGGACGCAATCCGCGCGTAGGTGGTCGCTGTGGTTCCAGCCATTCGCGCACCATGTCCACACAAATGTAATTCCATCCCCACAGCAAGAAATCGAGCTTTCTTGCAATCAGCCGTTCTTCGTAGGCACGCAACCCGTTCTGTGGAAGCCGGAGCGGCAGCATCCGCAATCTGTTCAGCTTCGACATTGCGTTCTTGAAATTAGCTTGCTCGCTAGTTCTCTCTCTGCTCCGCTCGAGCTCCTTGCTCCATCTGCAAACTCTAATCTCACTCAATTCCAAATCGCGCGCACTCAATTCCCTCTCAATCAACAAGTAATCCTCCGCGCGGCGATGTCTAGAATGTTTAGCAGCTAGCAGGTGGACGCGCGCAGCTCGCACTAGAAAATGAAATCGCGAATTCAAGAATGGGGCGCCCTCCGTCTCCTGGTCGAAGGTCATGGTCGGCTCTCGGTCGTGAGGGTCGAATCACTTGATGGTCGCGCCGGCTCTACGCTAAAACGGTCTCCACTCTCACGCGCGGATTCACGCTCCGCCGACGCCGATTTAACTCACGCGCTCGAATTGGCAAATTTGAACTCCGCTAGCGTACTACGCCGCGGACATGGGTGCGCAGCGCCAAAGGCGGATTTCTCGCCTTGCGCGCTACACTCGTTCGTACCGCTCCTCGGCCAATCCCCCTCCGCCGAAGGCGATCGTCCGCGCATCGGACAAAAGTTGAACTCCCTTCTGCGTTGGCGGAATCCCCGGCGGAATCTCCGCCGGCGCGGAACTTCATCCGCCTGTGCGTAGGCGCTCGCCTACGCGTAGGCAAATTCCGTCCGCGCTGCTGCGCTGGCGCCGAAGCCGTTGACCGCGGTCAATAAGCTCCGTCCAGTCTGTCCATTTCTTGCCTCTCCGTCGGCGCTCTCGCCGCCGTAACTCCGTCCGACCGAAGGCGCATCCATCCGTTCAGTCCGTACGGTCCATACGGATTTTACTACTCCGGTGATTCCTCGCCCGTCCGCGCTGCTGGCTGGCGTGGAAGGCGTCGTACAATTTCTAACCCCGAAGGCGCATTTCTAGGGCCGAAGGCGGATTTTCCGCCGACGTCGAAGCGCCTGTGCGTAGGCGACTTTTGCTCGTCCGCCTGGGCAGAGGTTTCCTCGCCTACGCATAGGCAACATTCGCGGCGGACATCGCCCCTACGTCAAACCCTATTTCGCCTACGCGTAGGCGAACTGCCTTCGTCCGCGCATAGGACAAACTTTCCTCGCCTACTCGTAGGCGGAAAGCTGAGTTTCTTGCGACTTCCATAACTCCCGGAGTCCTCATTCGTTTGTGGCGTTCTTGGGCTCGTTAGAATCAGCGCATCGAGCTCTTTCCAACAAGACCCTAACCAAGTCGAGGCGTTTGGGAATTGGCCAAGTTCTGAAGGATTCCTCTAGCGCCGAAGGCGGATTTTGCGCCTTGCGCCGAAGGGGTTATACCTTCAGAGCCCGCATGGAGGGTGGTGTCCGTCCCTGACGTTGCACCCACTCCTGGATTCTACGAGTTCTCTTGAGAATCTCTGCGATCTTCCGAATTCACTCTGTTTTGATGCACCGAAGGCTATTTACACTGCTGTCGCGGTACAGTTTTCCAAAAATGTTTTAATTCCCTCAAAAATACCAAAAGTGGGGTACCACAATTGTACTCCTTCGGGATTTTTCCCCTGAATGCCAAAGTGAAGTTTTGCTACTTCGAGTAAGCCTTGGTTGTAAATTCAGGTCACGTTGCAGCAGGTGCCTAAGGGCAAACCCCTGTAGTATTTCTGAGAATGACAAGTGCCTAAGATTTCAAACTCTTCAATAGACTCTTATGGTGTGCTACTGGATCGTTTTTTAGCTGAGTCTCTCAGTCAGACCTGTGTTCTCTGCGCGTTTTGTGAGTTGAGTGTGTTGTTCACCGCGTGTGAGTGACTTCGATCCGAAGTAGGAAGTCCAATCCGGGTTCCCTGTGCTAGCAGAAACTAGTGGAAGGGTTGTTTAAGCCGGAGTTGGGAGTCACTACCCGCAGCTTCGCTGAGTGTATTCGTGAGAGACTTTCCCCCTGAAATCTTAAGTAGAGGTCCTAACCGACCTCTGGGTTGTGTTTCTATAGTTTCAGGTGTGTGTGTGTGTGTTGAGTGAACTACGCTGCACTGTGCGACCTCCGAGTGAACACTTGCAGTATTTCTGGGAGTGACAGTCGTCTAAGAATTCAAACTCTTCAATAGTCTGTTAAATGTGACACTTTGTACTCTGTGTGTTGCCTTTGTCCCTGTGGGTTCGAACTTTCTACCACTAATTGCAGTTTTAGCCTTTGGTGGGTTATTAGAGTTAAGGAGACTAAAATAGTCTAAATGAACGTTTTTGAGGAGACTACATTAAATTTTATAAGGAAACCAAATTAACTGTATTTAGGTTATTTAGGAGAGTGACTATTATAACCATGACTGGATATATGTGATAGAACAAAAGATACTTGATGAGCTTGAATTGGATATATGTGATAGAACAAAAGATACTTGATGAGCTTGAACTGTATACGCCGATAACTTCCTATTAGTCAACGATAAAGTTGATAAATATCTCCACGGAAGTATTATATAATGCTAAAGTTCTGAATGAAAAACATTCATCATAACTTGTCATTCATTGATGGATATGATAAATAAATATCTCAATTTTCTGACTGGGTCGTCCGGGTCTCGGGTTCGAAGGAGCATACTAACAAGACTGCAGTTCACCATATGTCATTCGTTGCTATCTGGTATGCTCCGGATGCTTTTCAAAGAATGAAGACTCACATAATTTAAGAATACTTATAACTATTGAGAGATGCGCATTGACGATTTGCGTGTGTCTGAGTGTGTGATCCAAAGATTGTCCTCTGTCCATATAAAGTAGAGGTTTAAGAAGAAAAGAGGATTTCAACGGTGGTCTTTCGTCCAAAGAAATTATCTTTTATGATGACTGAAGGCCTTTTTCTTGGTCATGAGGTGTCTGCTGCAGGGTTGGGCTTAGACAAGGATACAATTCACGCTATAGTAGCGTTACGACTACCTTGTGATACGAGGGAGCTTAGATCTTGCGTTGACCTCATATATGTGAAATCTTATGCTGCAATCGCAGTTCTGCTGAGTTGGGTGTTGAATATGTGTGAAAGTTGGAATATCAAGATTTGATGCAGTGAATGAAAAATGAGTTGGTCGGTCGACAGCGACGAAGTGGGAGACATCTTGTCAAGGTTCACAGGATGTATCATTATGTACTTTACTTTATCTATAGCTTTATGGTTGGTATTGTTTCAATGAAATGGGCAACAGAAGTATCTAGCCATGTACTTCCCTAGATGAATGTTAATTGTTGCTAAGAAGAATCATTCGACTTTTGGAAGTAAATTGTAGGGCATGGTATATATGGAGAGAAAAGCCCGACATTACCTGTCGGGTTACCGATCTGTCTTCCACGTTGATCGTAATTTACTTCAGCATTTCATGTAAAAGTAAATATTTCAGAAAAGTTGGTTCCATGCATGATATTGGTACACAAAGTACTTTCACAATGCAGACTGAGGTGGGAAGAATGGGAATGAGAAGGAGAATGAGTATACAGACTTTCATCAAGATTGGAGACACATTGTCCTTCACCAACAGTGGGAATTAGGAAACCTTCCTAATGAGCAGTTAGTTGTTAGGCGACTCAGTATTATGACTTGTATACGCTAGTGCAATACCTCAGACATCTGAGTCTATCAAGAGTGTCTATAACAAACGATCTAGACAAACATGCCTCTGTAGAAGTTTATGTAGTCAGCAATCATCATCATGCGATGTACTGATCGATCACTGTTTTACATTTTCTTATTGCTTACTAGAGCCAAAACTTTTCACGGTGTACGTCATTCTCTTGCCAAGCTGATTTTCGTCTTATTCGACTTTCTTATTTTTCATTTGTACTCGGTGGATGTGGTCGGCGTTTTTCTGTACCGTTCCTTTTTTTTTAGCCTTTCCCTTCTATCCATTCGTCTAAGTATCATCCCCAGATTCATTCTATATATGATTATCATATATCAGATTTTGTCATTCACTGCTGTTGTATGTTGCTACCCGGCATTCAATTGGGTCTGACGTCCGTTTCTGCAAGATTTTACAGAAACTCAGTCGCCATGCACATTCGTTGAAAAGTGAGTTTACCAGCAGAGCCCTAACATTGGATGCCCATGCCCAAGGGTTTTGGGTGACACTGTTTTGGGCAGTGTTTGTCAGATCCAACCAAGAATTGGTATAACCGGGTATTACACATAAGACAATTGGCGCAATTTGAATTGCATGGATGGGCATAAGGAGCTGCTGATGATTATGGTCTGGTCTGGGTAGAGATTTGAAGTAAAATGTTGGCCTCTGTTTACCAGTATATGATCAGGCCGTAGAGTTCAGTGAAGTAGCATTGCTGATGATGTTACCATGTACCATCGGCTTGTTGTTATTGACATTCGATGTCGATCTTCCAACTTCAGAGAGAGCATAGCAACAGAGAAGAGACACACTTGAAGAGCATGTTTTATGTGCCACTCACCTGCTTGTTATTTATTGGTTGCCACAGGAATGCTGCATTATGCTCCTCTGGTTGATCTACAAACATTCCAGTAATAAAGCAGCGTGGTCAAGAACCTCAAGGTCAGCATGATCCACTTGATGGCCATCTGCTCGACCACCTACCTCGCGAGGTAATCTGACTAGGTGGAAGAAATGTGTTAAGTGCTGAAGTGGGAAGCCAGAATGAACTTTATACACTTTGGGTTTTGAAAAATGCCGGCACACCGGGAACGTGCACTCGATCTGCTTCCTAAGTAGTTACAGGTCTGTTATAAAGTCCTGCAAACTTTGGAACGAACTTCCTCCTGGACTGGTTGCACAAGCTGCTCCAAGTTTCAGCCTCTGAGCATTCTCTTTCAGGACCTTGCCCTCTTCAGAGCACATAATCGTCCGAATCGCTGTTTCGACGGCGCTCCTATCCACGATCCCCTGAGGAAGTTGAATCCCCACTTTCGATATCTGTGCCGCATATCTACACATGGATCAACAACGTCGAGATGGTTATGACAGGCAAACATGCACGCAAGAGCTGCAAACGTCAAGGTCTAGTCAGAGATACGTGCAACCAGAATGAACTATCTGAAGGATACCTATCGTCTGATAAATCTCAAGTCTCTCAAACAACATGAGTCATCAAATCTGCAATCTTTCTTTCATAAAATATTTTCATTGCGGGTCTGATTGACCATACAGTGCATTGGCAGGCTGATCGGCATAAGTTGACCACGATATAATCGGAACGCCCCTGGCGACGGCTTCCATAATAGAATTCCAACCAGCTTGCATCACAAATGCGGCGGTCGAAGGGTGTTCCAAGATTTTCAGCTGCGGAGCCCATCCTCTGGAAACAAGTCCACGGTCCTTGACCCGTTCCTCAAATCCACTCGGCAGGAGTTGATCCAGTTCATCCGAGCTGAGGTTTGGTGGTGGCCTCAGAACCCAAAGAAATTTGGCTCCGCTAGCCTCCAGTCCTTGAGCCAGCTCGTGCACCATTTTCAAGTTGAACCTGATGAAGCCCGTGGTTCCAAAGTTGACGTACACGACAGAGTTGTCTGTCTGCCTGTCCAGCCAATCTAAGCATTCGTCATTGACGCTGACGAAATTCATGCTGCTGTCCCCGACGAAAGACTTGGTGACTCGTACAGCCGATTCCAGCGGACCTACTGGGTACACCTTCTTTTCCTGTCCACAAATCCACAATATTAGGATCAGAAGATGACCCCGTCGTGTCACATCGGTATCTGGGAAATCTTCCTGTGCAATAATTAAGGAACACTTCCGCCGCCGGAAGAAAGTGAGAGCGAGTGTTGATTGAGTGCTTGGACAAAAGGAGGATACAACGAAGATTGAAACCAGGTTGGGGAGATCTCTTTGTATTGCGACATACCATTCTCCGAAGTTCGTCGATGGCGCAAGTTTCCAATTCGTAGAAAGAGTTTCCGAGCAGGCCTGCTGCATTTAGAATCGACCTCCTTGTGTACATAGCGAACTGAGGAGGTACCGAGAAGATGTCACAGCTGACGCCATTCGGGAACATGTTGGGAAACTGTATAATCCTGTTCGTATCGTCAGCGTCATTACTGAGGGGCACATGATGCAACATCAAAAATGAAAACGCTGACCCTGGGCTGAGAAGATACCGTGGTACATTCAGTTTGGCCGCTGCGTCCTGCGAGAGTATTGACCAGAATGAGCTCATACATTATGCGACTTTCGAAGATTTGGAGTATACGCCCATTATCTCTGAAACAGTAGTGTTATACTTGTGCGCTAGTATGTGTTGGAGAGAATATCAAAGCATCCTCGATCTTACCCCGGCTGTCAGACAAAGAATGACAAAAAAATGACAAAAAGAATAAGAAAAAAACAGAGCAGAAACTTGTAAGTTTTTGGAAGAATCTAGAATTTAGGCGTCAAGTCTATTCGTGCATGAAAGGAAATTCTTAGTCTTTAAGGCCACAGCGGGACTATTGGGAGAGCCTACATTTCAGAAGTGGAAGATCGCTACAGAGAAAAGTGCGCAGTCAGGCCTTTTCAATTAAGACCAGAAGCAAAAACCCCAAATTGTGTCAATCACGTGTATTCAATATAATATAGTATCAATTAAGACCAGAAGCAAAACCCCAAATTGTGTCAATCACGTGTATGCAATATAATATAGTATCAAGAATACTTAGTCACGGCGGAATCCACAGAAATTTTCGGGGTTGCAGCTTTGTAAGAAGCTCTGCACTAACCACTGTCCACGGGAGGAGCACATCTGAAATCAGACAAGTATAAGGAGGCGATCCGTCGTGATCTTGCACGAATCTGTCAATGTAAGCGTTTGCAACAAAACGAAGCCTCTCGCTGTCCACCATAGGCGGATAGAAGAGGTCCTCGGGTTTCGAGTACCCGGTCAAATCTTGGGGCAGACCTAGAAGTTGAACTCCGTCTCGAAGGTCCTCCCGGGGTATTTGCTGCAACAAGCAATCGTATGACAGAACGGTGCACCTGACTCCATGCTGACTCAGCTTGTCGGCTAAATGCACCATAGGATTGATGTGAGGAAGCGCAGCATGTGGAATCATCAACAAGTGGTGACCACGAGAGCCTCCATTCTGCTCGTGGAATCGCATCTTTGCTCTTGAACTAGACGGAGTTCCAGTAGAAATCAGGGAGCACAAAGTTTGCTGTCTGGGTATGGCAACTTCTCTCGTAGCACATGTTGTTGAGTTTCTGGTAGCTCGAAGACCATGTATCCTTCGATAAATGTACCAACACTATAATTGAACTGTCATTCTGACACTTTGGTCGACACATCTGTATGGTCAGTGTTTCGTAATTGCTGCAGAGGCGTTACAGAACAAACAAGATCTCAACGTGGAGAGTTCCCAGCTTCGTGACATTTCAGTACACTGACTGCAGGCTGTCAGATCTGGTTGCCTGGAGCCAAAAGCATATACAGCTGAACCTCTTTCAGACGTCACTACTAGTAGATAAAAAGGTATGGACCCGTACATTCGTTAACGAGGAATACACCTCAAGCTAGGAGCTACCTCCGATATTATTTAAGTAAATACGTCGTTTGGCCTTCCTTTCAAGATTATCAAAGTAAAGTGATCTATAGAATACATAAAAAGATATAGGATACAATAAGAGTTATTATATTTTATGTGTAATATATATGTATATATATATAATATTTTATAAAATGGGAAAAGTTAGTTATTACTGATTTAAGGTTAATTAGCCCTCATTAATTAACCCTGTAGTTGCTATTGCATCCCTGTTACCAATAAGATATATAGAGTGAGGGCCAATTAGCCCTAAGTAGACGTTCCCAATAAATTTTAAAAAAATATAAATCAATGTATAGAGTATAAATTTTGTAGCGCTTTCATAACCCGTAATGTAAAAAAAAGTTCTCATAAATGTATGAAATTTTTTCTATATAACTCTTGGAATGCATCTCATCATTTCAAAATTAAGAATTTGAAAGAGTAATTGGTGACTGTACAAACAGACTAGCAGCGCCCGTTCACTTCTCAACAAAGTTGTGAAATCCTGCCATCCTGCCCGGCGAAGTGTGTACAAATGTCAGAGAAAAACTACCTGTACAGTAGAGACTGTATAAGTACAACATACCGTCCGGTGTCGATGAGAGCAACCTCGGGTGTTACTCCTGGTCAAAAGGTTCGGGCAAGTGCAGTCAACTGACCTCTACGCCAAGGATCACCACAGACAACATTCTAGGTGCAAAGTGCATAAACTGGCACGTGTGAATTATAAACTGTCTAGGAACCTACCGACATGGCTAACCCTGGTTAGACCTTTGTGTGGTCTCTAAATAACCTGATGTCTATATACAATTGGATACGCTTCACATAAACTCGAGGGCTAGTTCAGAAGGTATTGTACTTCGGCCTTGGGTTTCTTCACTTTCTATCTGCTACGTTACTGGTTTCCCTTCCGAGTTGTTGGACAGAGGGAGAACCTGCTGCAGCTACGGCCTGATTTCCATTCGATGTCATGAGTGCCCACGAAGTCCACGCCCTCGTAAATCACATCCTATAGACTATTTATCCGCATTTATCGCTCTAGGACAAAATTAGTTTATGGACCTATCCGGAACTCAAAACATTTCATTTTACACTATGCACCTTACGAGCACGCTAATTGAACCCACCCATTTTCCTAGACGAGTTATTGTAATTCGTGTGTGAGATTTCAAATGTGCCCCCTCATAGTGATAGTTTTAGTCGGGAATGTTAGCATAATGCCATTACGTGGAGTAGGTTTGGAGCCTATGTGGCGAGTTAATGATTCTACTTTACCGTAGTAGGTCCTTAGTACCCTATGGCAATGTTGCATGAAATTTGCGAGTACAACTTATGGTATCTTGAGTCAACTCGAGATACCGTAATTTATATTGTTGGGGATTGAAGTGGTTGTATTTTTCCCTACCCATCGTATCATGATATATCGTTGAGTGTATAATCTACTTGGAGAACAAGGATGCTTGGACCATAACCAACGCACTTACAAGAATTCGCAGAAGAAGATCGTAGGTGATAATGGGCTGCAAAACTTCCATAGGACTGTTTTGAGTTCCGCATAGATCCATCAAGTAATTTTCTCTCGCTCAATACTTGTTATAAAACTATTAAAGTCAATAGCATTATCCAATCTACATTTTCTGGCGAGCACCAAGTGTCTATTCATGAGGCAGGGTTGCTTTTCTTAGTGGGCTTTAATCTACTCCATTTTTCACGTTGGACTACTGTTCGAACCACAAGATATTGATGGTGGACATAGATGGGAATTTTTATTGATTCTTTTGCTTTTGATTAAAATGATTGTACGTTCTCTTAGCAGATAGACTGGGTGCATGATGCATCATTCTTTGGTTGGAGATGGAGATTGAGATTTAGTGCATGGAGATTGAGTTTATCTATTTTGGATAAATTCAATCTCAAGAACAACATGAGGCTAGGTGGTTGCAAGTGTGAGTGAATTGTGATCATGCCAATCAAAATAATATACTCAGCCTTTAAAACTGGACGTAAATGTGAATGTTAGTCATTATATGATGTTATACCTGCATGTGAGATACTTCAAGAAGTAAGAGATGCAATTTGGTGTTTCTGAAGTCTTCAAAGTTGTAGGAATCACGGGATAACTGAATATGAACAAAATCTTAAGTATTTAGGGATAGACAACGAAGTAGAATGTATAATCCAAATTTGAAATGTGTGTAAGCAAGAACGAATCTAAGTTATAAAATTCGGAAACAAGAGCCTATGTCTACCAAATTTGTCAACTCCCACAGCGTGCGGCAGAACATAGGATATGAACATAACCTTGTTAACAAGAACTAGACTAGTGTTGAGGACTGAAGGTTTAGATTTGTTATTGTGGGTAGTCAAAGGCTAATTGTCATGTGACCAAAAAAATTATCTTAATTTTGTTCTTGATAAGCTGAGCAGATTCGAACTTTATATATCCTTGTGAGGTGGCTAGTTTTTAGACAAGAAAAATAGTTGGAAATTTTTTTAGTTTTTTAAATAGATTGTTTTTTTCTCCACTTTCCAATACATTATTAAAGTCTGAAAGACACTAATAAGCCTATGTGTGGATTTTCATATTTAATCGGCCCAAGATTTTGGAGGTTCTGTCTGGAACATGCATAGGTCTCCGTTAACATGAAGTAGAAAAATAATTTTCCACTAAGAGTAATATTTCAGACCCTATGTATTTTTTGATACGATTTAGGGTAAAGAAGGTGGAAGAGGTGACTCTGCTTCCAGTCTATGAGCAACGAGATCAAAGTGGAAGTTTCCGAGTAGAATGTGACTTGCTCTGGACATTACCTACGACTTTTCCTTGATGGAGATCAGATATAGGTGGAGCAAGTTCAATTGAAAAGTCCCACAACAACCTAGATGTTATGATGTTATGCTCGAGGCATAAGTCAAGGGAGGTGATATTTGATTTTGGGTTGAGAACTCGAGGTGGAAAAATTGTTGGAAGAGTCTTTTGGGTGGAGGATTTTCTTTTGCACATAGGTTGTGTGATAGTAGTTTTGAGAAAGTATTTCGGGAATGCCATGGCCGGTTACTCGGACAGATTTGCTCGACTGGAACAGGATCCATTCGGAGTTTCATGGCCTGGACACCGAGCCAACCGCTTCTGCGATGGAAGGCTGATAGGAGATTACTTGTCTTAGGGTACTGGGGCTTTCCTATGTCCGCCTATTTGAGGTGACGAGGCTGACGAAGATGACGACAAACATTCAAGAAGTCGAATTTTCTGTAAAAGCTGAAGACAGAGAAGATCACCCTTTCACAGGTGCTGGAAGTTAGCCAATGTGTCCCAACGTTGCCTGACCGTTTTAGAAATCTGACTGCAAAGGACTAAAATCAAAGACCTGTGGAAGGGTGGGAAGCTTTGAACTGCGGCTAGGAGGAGGTGGAAGAATTGGAAGATCGGAAGGAAGAGTTGGGAAAGGAGGCAGCGTTGGAAAATCAAGAATGGTGCGAGATCCCAAGACCGAAGAATACATCGACTGGATCTCTCCTTCGTCAAAGAATTATGCAATATTCCACGCATGTCCGTGTCGGAAGGATTTCTCTTTGAAGCGTCCTCAGATGGCAAAGAGATGAAAGTTTGGTGTTGTTGTGCCGGGTTCACCTGAGTGACTTACGTGCGAAGACTCGAGACTGAGACGGGAATTCTTAATTGCGTTGTAAGACGGGAATCACAGAAGATAGTAAGTTCACAGAAGGCCAGCTTCAAGAGTCTGAACCAGTTCTTCCGATCAGGCTGCTTCCCATGGCTTGACGAAGTCACAGTGGAGTGGCCAGAGGGTGCCACGGAGTCTTTTGGGAACAGTTCGATCGCTCTGTGCATAATTATTGCATAGAAGGGGGAATTAATTGCTTCAATGAAGGTAACACCGAAACATGTGCACCTTCTTTTGTAATTGGGATTCTTCTCTTGCTGTGAAGTCAAAGGAATGTGAATCTGCAAACCTCCGGCTGCAGGTCTCCTCGGGCCATGAAAACTGATTCCTCCGATTAGAGATTGATGCTCTGTCTGGACGACGAAGGTTCAAGCTCTCGATCGAATCATTCTCACAGGGCCACGTGCGAGGGACGACAGTCATCTGTACAGCTCACAGAGGTCCCAGCAGGACCGGATGTCTGTTTTAGGAAGGAGTTCCATTGCTCCTCCGACGACGCTGCAAGCACCCTGGAATTCTTTCTAGGCTGACCACGGCACATGGAGTATATGGACAGGTACTATTCGAGCTTGACACCTGCTGACACTGGAACTGATTCCGGGATCGGTTCTCACGCTGACCCCTCCTGCTGCGCACGTCAAGAATCCATCTTGAGCCCACTGGTGACGCTGCACGAAGTTATGGTATTAGAATCTCAAGGATGACTTCACTCCACCGGCGGGACGAAGAAAGGAAGAATTACTCCTCGGTATCGCACTCGTCCGCCGAAGGTCCAATTCTCGAACACATTTGATAACGCAGGCGCGAGCTCCGTTTAGCAGACCATCGCCTGCTGCTGCAGCTCTGATGGAGGATGTCACAAGAGCTGCTGCCACACTGAAGAGCTCGAGAGTAGCTGCGACCGGGGTACGATTGTCTCGAGTTTCTTCCTGTTCTCCGAGTGGATACTTGATCTTTCATGCTGATGTTGGAGAGGTGTTTATAGGGAGCCAGATTGCGATTCAGAGCCATGATAGTTTTACTGGAATTGTGACTTGAGAATCAGAGGTGGGGTTCGTAATTCGGTGCCAATCTTTGCGGGGCTGGAGGGAAATATAACCTCGAGCCGAATGTGACATGCGGGGCTTTAGTATTCGCCAATGGCAACCTGCACGATGGGACAGCGTGCAAGGAACCGACAAAACATTTGTTCTGGGATGAGTTTCTTCCTTCTGGTGCTGTCAATAAAATCACTGCCATATCCTTCTTGAATGGAACAGCTCTGTATCCATCAGGTGGTCTAAGGCCCACGAACTGCAAGCCTGACTTTTCTCAATTCTAGGATTAGATCATTCACTAGATCGTGTGACAGTTGGGCCGCCTTAGCACTACTGTCATGCCCGAACCGGTAGTGATCCTCTCAGCATAAACCACAGCTCAAAACTGGACTAAGTAGATAATACGCTCAGGCATGCAGACCTTATTGCAGCTGCTGGTGCCGAGAAGGTTTCTTTGCGGAAGTTGTAGATGCGTTGATCTCGTCCATTTTACTTCAGCAGGTATCGGAAAAGGCCTATTAGATAGGCTACTGCGCGGCGAAATCAGATCTTCAAAATCTCTGAGTATATGGACGGATACATGGAAGTATATTATCCAACTACCGTATGATAAGAAACTTATCAATTTCAGTATCCTCTTGATGAATGGAAAAATTGGAGAAACTTCAAAACCGAAGAGGCTGGAAGTATCTATCAAAGCAAGGAACAATGGAAGGAACTTCTTTGGTGCATGTGAGGAAACCACCTCATTCACTTGGATTTGTCCTACTCCGAACTCGATGAGGAGACGTTCAGGACCTGATGGGAGTTACTGCAGGTGAGCTTGACGGGCTTGAGGCAGGTTTCCACTTGCAAGTGGATCTTGAATCTTGAGTAGATCTGTTAAGTATTTTAGTTCAGATTAGATATTTTGTAAATGGTGAAAATCCTCTTTGATCCTTAGAGAGGGGCCAGTGGCAACTTTGTTTGGTAAGAGGTGCTTTTCCGGGTTCCTATATAGATTAGAGCTTTGTAGTTTAGAGTGAAGTGACCTCGGGGGATTATACACTCAAAGCGGAGAGTAAGTGACTCAAATTTTTTCTTATGTGCAGATGAAAAGTGATGTAGTATTTTGGAGTGCTAATTTCCATTCAGTGATCTTGTATTATCCTTAAGATATCTCCATAAGAGATAAGCTAGGAGATTGAGAAGTGTATTTGGTGTTTGACTTGGTTAAATCTAAGTGGGAATTAACATACCCAGGAGACACATTGGTGACAACAAGGTGTTATACCACCTAAAGTTGAATGGAATGAAAGTAGAAGCAGCGATAATATTTCATAAATAAATTTGTCTTTCCGACAACGAAATTAAATAGATAGATTGTAAATTACAATATAGCATGTTTTCAGTGTTTTCTTTCACCAAGAGCAATTCTAAAGAAATGTTACATTTCAAAACAAATCCCTGACAATTTTCATTGAGAAAAATTACGCTGTAATGAATTCGTTGTTCGACTTTTACCCAAGTACCTTGATCATTGGTGGTTTTCATATCCATCAACTCTACATTAAGTTGATGTAGAGATGATGCCTATAAGAAATTGTGCAATTCTGAACTCGTTAAAATTTTGACTTACAAATAAAATCAAGTACTTTGTTTGATGTAATATCAGAACAGAGTACGAAAGTTGCGATATATCAAAATAATCTCATATTATACATTGAATAATGAAGAGTTTGCTTTTGTTTTGAAACTTTATGTTGATTCAGATTTTTTCAGCATTATCTGTATAATCAAGCCTAGAAGAGGTTAAGTCTTAAAGCTTGCAACAGGGATCGTAACCTGACTTTCAGAAAAACCAATCTAGAAGGGATGACGAGAATATGACAAGTAAGAAAGGAAGTACTATCGAAACATTTTTGTTATTGCAGGAGATCCGACACCAAGATTGATCTATTTGATGGTAATATGAGAGCATTTAACATTGTAGTAAATCGAAGGTTTTATTCACAGACGAAGTTCGTTCCAGGTTTTCTGCAGAAGATTCGGTCCCATGATAGGATGAAACCCATAAAGTTTTGTTGATCACTTCATAAGAATTTGTCGACAGTAAATTGGAAAGCACATGACCAAGCGGTGCGCTCGATCGTGTGCTTTCCAATATCGTGTGCTCTGTCGTTCGGAGTGCACTCCGAACGTTGAATTCTACTTCTGATAAAGTTTTAATACACGACCACTCGGTGAGCTTAATCGTTAGCTTCTCAATTTACTTTGCTCTGGCTTCGGAGTGCACTACTAATGTTAAATTCCTCTTCTAAAAATTTTAAATGAGAGTTACTCGGAATCATCTAGTATGTGTTCACCACCCTGCAGTTGGTGCGGATCTGGCCCTTGGTCTTGACTCCCACTCTTCCCATAGCGCGCATAGCCTTTCCGAACTCCTTCTGGAATCGACGATTATTCAGCAGCGATGTCACCATGGCCTTTGTGCGGGTATCGTCAAACAGCGACTGGTCGGATGTGAAGAGGCCCTTGTGCTCCTGCAGTGTCTTGTAGTAATTGGCCTCGAACACGCCTGCAGATGTGGGAGTGATTACATCCATGAACACCTCGATGGTGGTGTTGAAAGTGTGCTGGGGACAAATGTTCTTGAGCTCCTTGGCATATGCAGGGTCGATCGAGGGATCCGTGAAGAAGGCTGAGTTGAAGTTGTAGAGGCGCGAAACGAATTTGTCACAGAAACTCACTCCCACGGTGTGCGAGCCGGAAAGAACCACCATCTGCCTGGCCGATAATCCCCTCCGAGCAAAAGAATCTATGAGCTGAGACACCTGGAACTCCGGCGGTGGCAGCTCGGCTTCGGCTCTGGAGGCCCGAGAAACAGTGCCATCCTTTCTTCCACCTTGCACCGCCCAGGCTGTGCCGTTCAGCTGAGATACGAGTGGCAACACAGCAGTCAAATTAGTCCTTGAGAAATCATGCTGGATGCACATGGAGACTCCGGAATAAAAGCAGTACGAATGAATCGCCTTTCAGAGTGAAAACTCGGCAAGTTCAAATATGCTCTGGAACATCAAAAGGATTACACGGAGTAAAATCAACTCTCGTGAGGAAACACGATCGTAGTCATTCTGAGTGGCGTGTTGGAAGTCTGAGAAACCACTTGTGCAGTCAGTGCCTGGGAAATGTCTCATCTTTCTGAGACATGAAGGTCGTGTACCTCGACTGTGCTGTCGCGAGCTGCGTACGCAAGGATGTCGGCGCATGAAACGACGCCAGGACAGATTGCTTCCACGGCAGCTTTGGCAGCGTCGATCACTTCAAATCCTGCGAGCTTCGCGTTGACAGGAGCCGTCTTTTCGGTTCTAGGCCCGTCGAGCAGTACAGAAGCATCGCAGCCCTGCGAAACATGCATTCCATTAGCAACATGCAGTGTGAAGTGGATAACTGTGACGGACCATTGACAGATGCAGGGTCTCTTCAGACTGGGCTTCTATTGATCAGGCACGACTGCGGCGGATGAGAGTGGAAACTCAAGAAGGAACAGAATAAATTCATACTGAAGTAGCTGAAACCTCGAAATTGCAAATGTGCCATGGTCTCGTCTGGATCCACATGAGATCATAACACCTTCTGACGCTTACCTCCACGAAGCAGTCATGGAATTGCATACGCAAGACACCAGCTGCATGCTTGAGGTTCTTGGCCAGTTCAGTCTGAACGGCTTTCTTTATCACCTTTTCTGCGTCCTTGCATGAACTCGCGTAATAGTTATCTCTCAATCCCACGTAGCCGTAGTCACCGGTGCCATAAGCATCCACCACCACTCCAGAGATCGTAAGGAGAGAGACCAAAAGTAGCCACCTGAACTGCATCATCGTGTCGAAATTTTAACAGCTTCAAATTTACACTTTTTATGTACACTATTCGTTGGAATAAATGAGGGAGAAAAGTGATCACAATGTCACCCTCAAAGTTCCTAGCCCTCGAGACTTCCACCAGAAAAATTGGAAAAGTTTTTTTTTGGATTTTGCGATCGAGTAGATCTGGAGAAACGTCTCTTCTTCCGATCAAACTATTGATCGGATCTATTCGAGAGCCAGAGTGAGCTAAAGTGCGTTCCCTGAAAAGTGGATGAGTTTCAGAGGATTTATATTCTCACCATCAGGGCTTATACGGTAGCTCCTTCAGAGTACCAAGTGGGTGCGTAGCGTGTGATGATGATCGAGTAAACCTGAAAGGTATTGGAATAAGTTTCCTGTACAATACCGCAGGACCTGGACGTGCGACTATGGTGACTACTATAGCAAAACAGTGATACCCCAAATGCACTAGAAAGCACTTAATCATTGCTTGAGGGGGATCAATCGACAGAATGATGCTTCCAAGAGCACTTTTGACCGGAATTAGTCACGCTCTTTGGCACTAAAGTCTTTTGACGTTTCCGTCAAGTGACCTGTGACATTGTGTCATCATGCGCGGATTCCCCCGGTTGATCTTAACAGGGAAATCAGCAGTGAATTATCATGACAATGTCATAGGACAGTATTATCGATCTGAGTTGACTCATTCGATTACTCAGCAAAATGAGACATGGTCCTGAAGGTGGTGGGTCCTTTAAGCGGACTAATAGAAGAATACATTCTGTTGTTGAACTTGTGGAGAATTTGGAGTAAGAACTTGCTGGAGACTCCAAGTGAAATTTCAGCAGTATCGTGAGGGAGATGATACGAGTCGGACAGGCGCTTCCTCTCCTGAGTACCCTTCCCTTCTGTACTCAAGTGTTCTCTCCAAATGACTACGTCAAAGTAATCGAATGCATGTCCTTTTTTAGTAAGTATCTCCAAACAGGAAAGGGCAACTATCTAAAGCTCAAGCTATGTACAAAGTACTTCCATCAGCAAAAGAATTTGCAAGCTGACTATACTCCGCAATGTGGCGTTAGAAGAAAGCATGCAGCCTTGTAGCACGAAATGTCTTCAAGTATTGAGTATGAAAACATCTCTTGCAAATAAACGCCCAAAACACCAGTTTACCCAGCGGTGATCATATTCTTTGATGCCATGAATTGAATCGTATACAATTCAAGTAGCGAGTGAAGAAGTTCAACAAGGATCTCAGTTTTGTCTTGCAACACCTTGATATCTGATTCGAATCAAATTGATAACTCTAATTATGTCACTGAATTACAACGACTAGGCGGACGTCTTATCACTAACTTATGAGTGACATAAACAAATTGCGAGTATCTACCCACCAAACATACATGTACACAAGATCACAACATAAAGCAAATCTTGTCAATCGTATGTCAGAACAAATAGGAGCCTTTGTAGGCAATTGAAGCTGGAGGAAGAACAGAATCAAGTAGATCAATCATGTCTTCAATCTATTAATTATTTGATGAACTGGGTATAACCTAACATAGCTGAAAATCATCCTCATTGATTTAGAATAGGCAGTAAGATCTAGTGCACATTTGAGTTCGTAGTCAACCATGGCTACGCGAGATCTACTCAATTGAATTACTGGCAAAAATCTATTGTCGTGAATAATTGAATATGGTAATTTCCGAGTTATTTGAAGTATATGTATCTCTAAATCCTCGCTGACAGGTGCCAAAACTCCAACTAAATTCATACATGGTCGCACTCAACTGTGTGGGAAGAGATCTGCTTGTAATCAAAACTATCAAGGAACTGGAAATGAATAACACCAGCAACAAGTTTGAGCTTGTTGGCGAGTTGATTGCCAATGGCCTTCTGAATAGCAGGTTTGGCGTCCTCATATGAACCGTCGTAGAGATCATCATCCACTGGCGACCCCAAGAGCATCAACGATAATCCAACAGAAACAAGTTGGATCATGCGCCGGGATTCTCGCTCAAGCAGCTCGCGACAGTACGTACAGTCGAGGTACGCGCGATACACGCTTTAGACAAAGAAAACGTTCACCAGCTGCTGAGTGCACAAGTGCTTTCTCAGACTTGAAACCCTCCACTCAGAAGAATAACTACGAACTTATTTTCCGCATGAAGAGTCGGTTTTATTTCATGTACTTCTTTCGTGCATATTGCAGCCTGCTGACTTCTCGCTCGTGTTGGCAAGTCATCCCCCTTCTAAGCCGTAGTCTTGATTTGCGTCCGAATGATATCTTCAAGACGATTTTTTCTGCTGCGTTGCAGTTCCTAAATTCGCGCAAAGGCACAGGCTGGGTCCGTGCAACGTGGAAGCAAACATGGCCTCGAGAGCCGAAGTGGAGCTGCCACCGCCGGGATTCGAGCTTTCTGAGCTCAAGGATCCTTTTGCTCGAAGGGGACTATGAGCCAGGCAGATGGTGATTCTGTCCTGGTCACACACTGTGGGAAGGGGACACTGCGACCAATTCGTTGCGCGTGTCTACAACTTCCACTCTACCCATTTCTTGGATCCCACCATCGACTCTCCATCTGCCAACGAGGTCAAACACATATGCCCCATCACATTTCACCACCTCGTCAGCACCGAGGCCTGTAAAATTTATATGCTTCAGGTACTGAACTCTACTTTGTCCGTTATCGTGACCAGCTCAATATTCTTCTCGTATATTGCTCGGGCATGATGAACTTCACTTCTGAAATCAGAATAATCTCATCTGACAATTCATGATTGCTCAAACTTTAACTATTCATAAATAGTGGAAGTTTTAACATCTAATAAGTTTGATGCAGTATGCTGCAAGTCAACAGAGTCATCCACATGAGACTTAGGAACTGAAAGTCAACTTTCACTCTGATAACACACGCAATTGCTGAGTTGAGCAGGAGTGATGTTCTCAAATTTCATAAACATTATTGTACTAAAAAATTTAATGCTTGGAAAACATAACCTTACACAAATATCATATTATAAAAGTTCAAAACTTCACATGATACCTACAAGTTACCTAGAAATTCAGATATTATTTATCACATACACTAAATACTAAGTTTGCAATGATGTCAAAGATCCTTGTAGGCTTTTTCAACACATCATGGCCACTTAAAGGAACTAGATCCATCAATCTCCCAAATGGAACTCTTGTGACTCAACATTCATTGATCTCGATATCTCTTTTCATTACATCATGAGCCTTGTTATGATTTATTGAAGTAATATGATAGTTCATCAGTGTTTTAGAACTTGAAAAGTTGTTTTTTTTATGGACTTGAGAACTACTTCATTTCACTAATTATTTTACAATCCATGGGTAAGCGATATTTCTCTTTTTTTGATTAAATCTTTCTCAATCCCATCTGTAATGGTTACTCTTGATCTAGCTTTGTAGAGAATTTACTTTGATTGATGTAAATCATGTCACATATGGCGTATGTATACTTGAAAGTCAATAAAAGCGCCGTGTGGCTCATTCTTAAAAGAATATGACCATACAAAGTTTTCATACGGTACTCTCCGACGAACGAGTCAGTACCCAACTTACATTTCAGCGTTGTTAAATAGAAAAAATTCACTCAAACTTCGTTTTTTATATTTTGTACTCATTTCTATATAATACGATCCAAAAGATTTTGTTGTGACATAAGATATTGTACTAATTGAAGATAGAATGTGGTTCCATGAACATTCAGTTTCTTAAATTTTTGCATAAATTTTTCCTCACGTTCCGTGGCAGTAACTTACTACACAAGAATATTGTCAGTCTAGGATAAAAAACAGTCAATCTTGTATGAGATAATATCCACAAATTTTCAAGAACAATTTGAAATCTTTTAAATCATCGAAATATTTGTAAGAAATGACTTTTGTATCTTAGGGTGACAACATAGTCTTATTGGAAATTAAAATCCAGTTATATAACATCTTATCTAGTTACTCTTGAGTCTAATCTCATACTTCATTAGAACTCAAGCGTAATGTGAGAGATGTACATTATGATTCGTCGAATATAATGACACTACTCTCAACTTAGAGGCCTTATAATAAATTGGGTGTGGAAATAAATGCTTTTTCGAACTCCAGTCAATTGTGTGAACAAGGAATGAGAGCCTGCCATTAGCAACGGGCTGAATGTTAACCTCTCCAACCTGTGGTATGATAGAACAAATTTCAAGTTCATGGTACGATGAAGTAAATTATGTCCGCAGGTGTATGAGGGGAAAACATGTCGTTCTTAAGTTCTGAGTTTGACAACATGCACATCCATAACACATTGTACTCTATTTTATTCCATTCAAAGGAAATATTCAGAATATGTTAGGAAGGAACGTTATGTCAAGGGGTGGAACGTCAAACTAAGCACTGATTAAGAAGACGCTGCTCAAACCCGCCGCCCAATGCTGCATGACCTTAGGCCCTATGGACCATAATCAATTCTTTATTTATATTTAACCTTTATCCCATCCGCTATAAGCGTGATCCGTACCACGATGTCTACTTCTGGGTTCAGTATTTGCAGATCTGATCAAGAGAGTATAAATGCCGTAGAAGCATACTCTAAAAGCGTACCTCAGCACGGCTTCTCTTTCCAGTTCCACTCGGATCATTCCTTTGATCTGAGGGACGTAAATCTCCGTTTCTTTGGTGAGAGTTGACAAGAATTGCCAGGCACGTGAGGTATTCACATTTTCGAAAATTAGTCGACGAAATCGTGTTCGTCCAGTTTGACCCAACAAAAAAAAAGGGACATCGAGATATAACACCATGGCACAGTTCAGGATTATTCTTCTAGCCACTATCCTTATGTTCTCTGGAGTGGTGGCGGATGCTTATGGCCCCGGTGACAACGGGTACGTGGGATTGAAAGATGACTATTACGGGAGTTCATGCAAGGACGCAGAAACGGTGATAAAGAAGGCCGTTCAGACTGAACTGGCCAAAAACCTCAAGCATGCAGCTGGTGTGCTTCGTATGCATTTCCATGATTGCTTCGTTGAGGTAAGCCTGAGATTGTGTCTAAGATCCCACGTGTATCCGGACCATGGGCAATTTGGAAGATCGAGGATTTCAGTTGCTCCAGTTTGATACTATTCGTGAAGCTTTTTCTTGCATGTCCCCGGTAGTTTGTGATCATCAGAACCTGCATCTGTCGATGAACGTCGAAGTTGTCGAAGTAACGATGCATGTTGCTAATGGAATAAA